AGTGAAGAGGAAGAAGAGAGTGAAGAGGAATCAGAGGATGAAGATCATGTATTTGTGTGTGATGGAGATTTAGGCGTTGGGGTCGCCCGTGACGCCACTCTTACACGTCTTCGCAGACAGACCCTTCTCAAGATGATATCTGACCCAGCCTCTTATGATCGCAAAGCGCTGCGATCACTTTGCGTCTGCCCGGCACACAAGCGTCGGATCAGACCCGGTTCAAGTGGACTGACTGCCTCACCGCTTGGCTCCAGCCAGGCTGCTGAGGGTGCCAATGGATGTACTGCTATGAACTCGGAAGAGCGAAGCTCGGGCATCGATAACATGAATGGAAATGAGCTCGAAGCACCGGCAAGCCCCACCATAGACCTTGCACTTGAAAAGCAGATGACTCCGATTTCTCGGCCTCACTGGCGCAAGGGATTGAGCAACAGCGCTAGCGTCCCCTCAACTGCTGGTTCAGTGAATGCTGCTGTAGGGTCACAATACCTGCCCACCTGCCCAAGTGAACATCTACTAAAACAGGATCTCGAATCAAATAGTTGTGGTAAAAATAGACATGAAAGGATGAGAAAGGATCAGCAAGAACTGGTTGGTGTAACCGATTTGCTTGACCAAGAACCTGCTGCTGGTCAACATCGACGAGTTACCACAATCGAGGATCTGAGCTCGCGGCTTGAAGGAGGAGATTGTGCCATGGCGCTTGGTCAGGGCGCGCCTAGACGATGCACGGTACAACCAAACACAAGTGATCTGCTGCCGGGCCAATTGAAACCCAGCACGCCCGCAGAGATTGCAGTCTCTCTTCTGGCAGCAATAGGGATCAGCCCCAACGAGGATCCAGCTGAGAGAGATTTACAAACATCAATCAATAACCAACCTACCGATGCCACCTCCTCCTCCCCCTCCTTTACCTCAGATCGGGTGGTATCAGTGCAGCCGCTAGTTGGATCTGAGAAAGATTGTCGGATCAGCAAATCCTCAGAGATCGTGTCAAAATATCCTGCCCCACTGTCTGGCTCTTCAGATGTGAGTTCTATCCATAATAAGGTAATTCCAACTCCACCAGATGCGAATGTCTTGACTGCTGAAGCCAATTAATCTCTTTGTAGCAAAATCTGTTTATCTGGTGGACGATTTAGAGTAATAGCGAGAGATAAAAGCACTGAGCAAGCTATTCAACCGATAGACAAGCAATTTTAAACATTCTCTAGCATTCTAACCCCTATTTAAATGCTGTTGTGCCGGTCAAGATCTGCAAACCGATGACGTTTAGGCCATCGGGTTGATAAATATACAGCGTCAAAGCAATTTCTAGTAACTTGACTACAGCACAAGAGTGGACCTGTCTAACGGTGAGTAATAAGAGGCAATACGAAAACAAACACTCACATGTGCGTAAAACCGCACACCCGATTGTATGACTCAGAGATATCAACCAATTTCGAAGCCCTCAATCCCATGCTCTCTCATCTAAGAAGCCAAACTCATCTCTCACCAACACCTCGATAACTCTAATCGACAAAATCATTATAAAAAGAATTACAAATGCTACTTTAGTTCTTGCAGCAGTAAATCAAATATTGCAAACAAATAACCCAAATTATTTAAAATAATAACTAATAATATAATCAGATTAATTCAATAAACCTATTAATTCCTTTTATTATAACTCGTTTTTATTATACTCGACCTTACCTATTCCAGAGGCTCGCAAAAATATTGCGCTCAGTAAAATGGGAATTTCATGCTTAAAAATATCGGAATAATTGACAGCAATTGTCATTGAAATCTGGCGTTATCATGCAGATGATGATCGGAGTTTAAAAAGCCCTCACAGGTGACGAAAAAGCTACAGAAGTATTATATCACGAGGACTTATCGCAAACACGTTTAAGAAGAAATTACTGTGTATGACAGGTTGACTTAATGAATATGGTCATATTCTTTGCGAAAAGAAATACATATGATTGTAGAGAAAGCAGCCGAAAAAGTTTGAGACTTCGTTTTTTTGTAAGATTCCTCAAGGCAAGCATAAAGGTAACCGTAATCACCATTTTTAAGCACCCGACAAGATGCAAATCAATCCTAAACTTGTTGGGCATTTCAGACAAGGAGGGCGATAAGTGGAAATTATTTAAAGGCAGCTTGAACCTTCCTTAATGAAAGGAACTTAAACCGTAGTCTTACAATAATGCTTATATCGTAAAATATCCTGAGCTTATTGGTTTTAGGTCTATTAAATGACCAGAAAATTATCACCATCTTTCTTTTATCATTCCAACTAGCGTTAAATACAATTACAGACGAAGATGTTTGAAATGAGAGTGGATTCGATGAGTCCCGACAACTCATTTATCGGTAAATTTCCATTTATTAGGGAAATTGGGTAAGAAATGGGTTGGCGAGATGATTTTCAAGAATTTACTCTTAGCGTTGCCTCCAAAAAGATAGAAAATACAATCCGCCTTGACTAAAACTTAGCTAGGTAAAACTCAATGTGATGGCAGGGCCCTCCTTGGCTATGGAAAGCTCATCTGTAGATGAATCGTCTTACATGGTGAACTTTGACCATTAAAATGTTGGATGGAGTAGAATAGTACGACAACCCTTCTCACTTAGATGCAAAATCAGGCAACGACAACCCACTTAGTCGTGGGAAATTCCATAAGCCACAGTTTAGTTAAGTAGGGCTTTTCCATAGGCATGTATTTGGATGTCGGAATTATTTACATCGGGCAAAATTATCAGTTAATTCCGTGAATGGCCAAGACACAATATTATGGCATATAGTCCTGCGCTCCCCGTGATAGTATTAGCTATAGATCCCAGCTTATACCGTTGACCTAGTACATGCAGATGGTCTTCAGGACAAATTAGTAACTAAAACCTTAATCTTGCAGATGGTGCGCGATTTAGAGACCAAAAGTGAACTCTCACAAAATGAGTTAAGAGTAATTCACGATATCATTGACTTTTACTTAGATTTGCTTCCCAAAGAGCTATACCATCCAGAATGAACAATAGTTTCGAGTAAGGCTCGAACTCATTAGCACTTCCAAGGGAATTCGATGTAGGATCAAAAGCAATATAAGCAGGTTACCATTCCACTGCATGGCTACACAATAATTATTCAAGAATTACTAAATGTTTGAAAACTACTTCGAAGAATAATACTTATATGAATTAGCCCCTAAAATTAGATATTAAAGGTTTAAAGAGCATGAAGACATCAAGGAGCATCGAAAGGTGATTATCGAATATCGTAATGATGATAGATACAAAATATTCATATGAAGCGTAGTAGTAGGATATTAGATTTCTCAAGAATGATATAGCATATAGTATATATTTATGCAAACTGAATTTGGTGGTGAGGATAATACAAA